CGCAGAGGATGCGCCCGGATCCGGGAGGCGCCGGGAACCCCCCCGCGGTATGGCCGAAGCGCGCTCCAGGCCTGTGCCCTGTCCAACGGCAGGTCAATCGAGCCGGCCTCCGCCACCGAGTCCGACGGGGACTGTGCCGACGACGCGAACACCAAAAAGAGGAAAACGAAGGGAAAAAGCAAAGCCATGGAAAGGTAAAGTTCAAAGCGTCAACCCTGTCTCGGCAATCTGGCATGGCCGGGCGGCAGAGACAGAGCAAACGGCCCAGGTTGAGTGTGGACGATAACGACTGGGAAGATCTGGACTATGCAAAGTCGAAAAGAGGGCTTCGGCGCTCGAAAATAAAAACGAGGAATCAGGGCAGAAGGACCGTGAGATACCACGATGGGGATGATGACAGAAGCTTAGAGAACGGGATAGATTTTGATGATTGCACCTTATGACCTTGAGAGAAAACCAGTTCATTCGAAGAGGAAATGGACTGGAATTTATGGTGAAAGCTGGCTGTTGAAATTATTTTTTGTCCTACAATTCAGGGAATATATTTATATTTTTCTATGAAAAGTTATGAATGTGACTAAATCATGACTGTTATTTTTATTTGCACTTGCTTGCCTTTGTAGCAGCGTTCAGCACAGGTGCCAAAATATGCTTCATTTTGGGGGCAGATCTACTTTGACAGTATTGAACTACAGAGAGCAAGGATTTGAAGTATGTTCAACACTAGACATCCTGGTTGTCAAAACCAATAAGCATTACTTTCACGGTAGCAAGTGTCATGCAGTCATTTGCTGAGTGCGTCCAGAGGTGGTAGTTTCTAACCCCTGTTCTGTTGTCGTAGAACAATTTCACCCGTGGCCTATGTTTACAGATTCTTCATAAATATTATGTGCATACTGACGGATCGATCATGGGAGGTGTAACCATGATTAGTAGGCGAGGTACCTACCACTTTTTTTTTTTTTTTTTCCTTTTCTTTTCTTTTATTTCCCTGGCTACTTGAGCAGAATGCATTATACCAGATTTGGTCATTTTCATTCAAATGGTTTCTCTCCAAATGCTGTTGGGTCTTTTCTCTGTTTTTCTTTATTTTTAAGGAAAATGTCATCACTTTTATTTTATAAACTTGAATTTATAAAGTGCTGGTAAATTATTTTTTAAAATGTTTGGATTGTATATTTTAAACCTCGAAGGCCCCAAGCATAGCCCTGGCATTTTCTTTTAAATTGTGCACTAACAGAATGCTATATAATTTGTCTTTCCGAGATCTCCTGATTTCTATGTAAGGGATTTAACCAAAATCTTGGTCTTCCATAGTCTTACTCTGTGAAATAGAGGAGTTTGTGTGCCTTAGATTTAGGAAAAGTGTGTTCTTTAATAGAGTGTACAGGGCCAAGAGAGTATTTAAATTATACGTAGATTCCCCCCCCCCCCCCCCCCATTTCCATTGAGATTGTAGAGTTCAGTTTTGTTAAGAGTGCAATCGCAAATCTCATCTATATAGGGAAATAGTTCAATGTCATTCTCCACCTCTCTGTTTTAGCTTACTGCTGCCATGTGCAATCCCGAGCATTCTTTGCGGGGGCAACTCAGTGCATCTTTTGTTAGTGACCCCTAGTTTAAGAAACTGTCTTGTGTTGTGGGAGAAGACTTTTGGAATCCATTCAAAGTGAAACTTCTATCACATCATCAAATACCATAGTACACTTATTTTTGAGCCAAATATTTTTGCTTGATAGGTTGTGCTACTCCGTAGAGTGTAGGTGGCCATTCCTAGCTTGTTTGTGCCTGAAGATGGACTTGATTCCAATGGTTTACATATTTCGTAGCTGAGGAGTATGTTGCAGTACTCCTACCTCTGTTATTTATTGGCCCTGTGTTTGGTGTCAGACAAAATTAATCCTCTTCTCCTGTGTATGCTTAAGGTGGCAGATACGGAAAAGCATCAGACTCTGGTATCAATGTTAGAGAATGTTCTTAAGTTTGTTACTTTTTAGTCATCTATTCTATTTGACATGGTAGAAGGTACTTTCTATTCTGATGTAAGGGGAAGGATGTTTTTGGACATTACCAACCGAGACAGGTGGGATACCTGTCTCTTCTTTGGTTGTTTGGAGAGCTGTCGCCGCTTCAAAACTATGATGCTCTTCTTCTCAAAGCTTGTGTTGAGGGTATAGTACAGAGAGTGATTCAGGAGAATTGTCCTTGACTATTGACCTGAAGAAATTAATGGAATGTTCTTTACTTCCCTAGTTTTAAGAAATGGTGATAGATGTCATTTCCATTAATTTATTTAAACTCTTCTTAAGCTTCTCTGTTTTATATCTATTCTCAGGGTTATAACTCCATGTTTACCATCATCTGCAAAAAGGTACCAAAAAAATCCATAAATAAAAATATAGAATACATTCTAAATCTATAAATTATTTTGTAAGGTGATACTTTGATCATTTAGGCTTCATCGGTAGAACTATTCTTAATCTTTTGGCCTGAGTTAACTGGTCATAGATTGGCTGGTCAACCAATTACTGATTTTTCTTTCTGTCCAAAATGGTTAGACCTTTGTATATAGAAAGCAGTGTTTTGGTTTCATCCGGGGAAAAAAAAAAACCAAGAATTTGTCCTGGTGACTTTGAAGGCATGGTTGACAGTGGTAGCTTCTCCAGTTCTGAAGTAAAACTAAGGGATTATAGTGAGAATCATTTTTATGGGTTTTTTTGGTCATGGTGCTATTCCTAAGGTTAACTTTGAATATGTGACACACACTCCTAAGTACTTTAAGGAAAATTAATAAATAATTAATAGTTCAAAATGTTTACATTGAGCACTAGAACATGTTTGACTTTTTTTCTACTTTATGCGAATTGCGCAGGGATTTAATGCACGGATGTACTTTAATGTGTTTGGGATCAGTTTGTATTTTCTTGTGAAAAAGACAAAAGGTTGCAAATTGAATGTGAACTGATCCAGAAGTAAGTGCTATCTGGCTTTCCATTGCACTTGAAGTAACTTGATGGTGTACATGAAAACAAACCAGAACGAAACTACTGTGGTCGTGTATGTCCAAAGCCCTATGATTTTATTCCTTTATGGTTGGAAAAAGGTCTGTGGTTATCAGACTTGATTTTTGATTCCTTCTAAAGTATTAAGGAAAAAAGATGTCAAACATTTAAAAAATAGCTGAGGTTTAAAAAGCATTTTTTTCGTATCATACTTATTTTAAAAGGGTATACTGACAATGTGTAGTAACTTCTGAATAAAAGGGAAAGTGTATCCCATTTTCAGATACTTCTTAGGGTGGTCGTTCTCCCTTTTTTATTTTTAGGGGAAAATCTCTGATTAAATCCTTTTTCAATTTAGAAATGCTTGGAAAGAATGATAAAGCATTTATTCACAGCTTCTCAGTTACAACATAAGAGTTTCTTCTAAATAGTAGAGAGTCGTACCTAAAAAAGCAAATTAATTTTATAATATGAAAATGGGGAGAAGAATTTCTGTTCGGGGAAAAGGCACTCCAGAACCTGGAATTGCAAATGGAAAAGGAGATCTGAAGCCAAAAGAAATGCCATCTTGAAAGTATTACTGTCCCTAAATAATAAGACCTGTCACTGAATCTTCATGCTCCATTGGTTAATGACATCTTAGGTAAAACATTCTTAGAAGCCTCCCTACTTAGAAGGGTTCCTACTACATCCCCTGTCCCTCTCCTAGCCTTTTAAAATAACCAGAACACAGAATGTATTAACTAAAGTGTAGTGCTTTAAAAAACCAAATTGAAAGGATTTTAATCTCTTTTGTCAGTGCACATTGAACTTGATCGTGCCGCTTGAAAACAATGAGGTTTGTGTGTCAGTAGAATGCAAGAGAGTTGTTCAAGGCGCTCACGATATTTTTAGTTTTCCTTCCTACTCTACCGTATTGTTTTTTTTGAGTAACTTTTAAATGGCTAGAACAGGTCGGGTGTGCCTTGCCCTTTATAGCTGAACTATCAGCTCCACCCTTTTTGTCCGCATTAAGTCAGCGTATTTACTTTCTCACGCACCTTGTAGTTGTCCACAAACACTTCAGCACCTTACACTGTATGGAACTTGTAGTTCAGTTATCTCGTGGTATGATGGAATGCACCAGAGCGCCTTCACTGCGGAAGAACTTTCCATTATTACCTAAGTCGATCTCTCAACTCCCGCTGTGGATAACAGCAAATAATAAAGCAGAAACCGTAAGAAATTTGCAGCTTCACTGTTTAAGACTGTCTTGATTCCAGTATTTGGGAACAAAGACCAAACCCAAGTATAATTTATCAAAGCCAGGGAGAAAATGGAACATTGTGGAAAAATCTAGTCCAACCAGATTAGCACATGCTAATACCACTTTGGTAGCTCAAAATTGTGAATTAATGGAGAGGATTAAAGTGTAAAGACTATAATGGCAAGGGCTGTGTTGTCTTTTCTCACGTTTTGAGTTTTTCGTAGCTATTTTCTTAAACTGTAGATGTTGCCTTAAGGGTATGTGGGAATTCTCAAAGTTGAGAGATTTTTACCAGTTCCTGATAATCTGCCACGCTGGTTCCTAATACATTGTTAATTTGGTAGAAAAATATGAAGACCTTTTCCTGGTGTCTCCTCAAGGATTGCTTGTGTGGATCTGATATAGGGACGTTGGCTGGGGCCAGTTATAACATCGGGGTCTTACAGATCTGCAGGCTCTCTGTCTTTGGCAGCCTGTAAGTAACTGTAGACTGTTTGTCAGGACTGATAGCTTCACTGAATTTAATTGTCAGTGTTTCCATATACTTTCTGGTCATACTTTAGTTTTTAAGGTAATTTGAAGGTAAGTTTTATCATTTATTAAAACCTCTGTTGGGAATTTGGGCTCCTAAAGAGGCTTCTGACTGACCCAGCTGGAACGAGACGGCCAGCTAGAGTTTGCCTGGACCACAAGCGGCCAGCCTGGCCTACGGGGATGTTGTTTAGAAGTTATTACCCTTTTTGATCAGTGGCTAAATGTCGAAAGTGATCTTTCATTTTTAATATATTGAAGGTAATTTTCTAGGTGCTGATCCTCGCTTAGTCCTTGGACCATACGCACACATTCAGCTCACCTATGAAACTCTAACCGTTTCACTGGGGCCAGACAAAAAGGCAGATCTTTAGAAGATTTTCCACTCGCACACAAGATCTTTCAAAACTTTAACTTTCTAAATAAACTCATTACCATGCCTGACTCTCGGTTGGTATCTAGGAACCAGTTTAATTTTTTTTAGTTACTAAAAGAGTATAATAAACTTAATGTTATCCTACTGACAAGTAAAAGGTTTTTTCTTTCCTTTTTTAAACTACTTCAAGCCTTCTAGCTGATTCATTCCATAAGGTCTGCAGGAGGCAGCCAATTTCCCTTGCAACTTATCTTTACGGTTTCTCAAACAGCTTACTGTCCACTTGTG